CTCAAAATTGCTATCACTAAAAATGTATTTTTGAACAATCTCGTCTATTGACTATATCAATATAGGATCAAAGCAGCCTTCGTCACATTTATCGTGACTCGACCCATCAATGGTCACATATACCAATATAATCAAACGACATAGATCAATTATGGATGTGCAGCATGAAAATTACATGCAATGTGATCAGTACATGTCTATTTTTAACTAGTCCTACTTTAGTGAGGTCAAAACTAAACATAATGTAACAGAGTATCTTAACTGAATACTTTATTCTGATCAGACAATACAACCAAACACAAAATACCAAAAATTACAAACTCTGACTAAATCATGATATCCTATAGTATCACCACACCCATATGAGCGTTGTGCTCATGAAAGACCTTAGGTGGCAATCCCTTAGTAAGAGGATCTGTTATCATGGAGTTTGTCCCAATGTGCTCTATGGATATCTGTCCACTCTGTACCCTTTCTTTCACAAACAGGAACTTAATGTCAATATATTTTGACTTAGTTAAGCTCCTGTTGTTATTGGAATACATTACTGCAGATTTATTATCACAATATAACCTTAGTGGTCTTTCCACATTTTCCAAAATGCACAGTCCGGTGATAAAAATTTGCAGCCTTATTCCCTAATTGGATGCCTCATAGTAAGCTACAAATTCTACTGTCATACTAGAGGAAGCTACAAGTATTTGTTTGATACTTTTCCATGATATAGCTCCCCCTGCTAACATATAGATGTAGCCTGATGTAGACTTCCTGCTATCTTAGCATCCAGCAAAATCAGAATCAGAGTACCCAATGACCTCCATCTATTCTGATTTCCTGTATGTGAGCATATAATTTTTTATTTTCTGAAGATACCTCATAACCCTTTTGACTGCTATCCAATGATCCATACCAGTGTTGCTTAAGTATCTGTCTAACATCCCAATAATGTACGCAATATCCGGACGCGTACATAACTGAGCATACATTAGACTTTCTACAGCCGAAGCATAAGGAATCTTCTGCATTTCCTGAATTTCAAGGTTGCCTTTAGGGCACTGATTAAGACTAAACTTGTCTCCTTTAGCCACATGGGTGTCTCCTGGTCTGCAATCTTGCATGCCAAACCTTTTAAATACTTTATCAATATAACTCTTTTGTGATAATCCAAGAATATCCCGAGAGCGATCTCGATGTATTTGGATTCCTAATATAAAAGAGGCGTCCCTAAGACCTTTCATCTCAAAATTCTTTGATAAAAATCTCTTGGTTTCGTGCAACATGCCTATATCATTAGTGGCAAGTAATATGTCATCGACATACAGAACCAGAAAAATATACTTACTCCCACTGAACTTGTGGTATACACAGTCATCAACAATATTCATCTCAAAACCGAACGAGATAATTATTTATTAAAACTTGTAATACCATTGACGAGGAGCTTGCTTGAGTCCATAGATGGATTTCCTTAATTTGCAAACCATATTCTTTAGATCTCCTAACACAAAATTTTCTGGTTGCACCATATAAATCATCTCATCAATGTCACCATTGAGAAATGCAGTCTTAACATCCATCTGATATAACGCAAGATCATAATGAGAAACAAGTGTCATGATTGTTCTGAAAGAGTCTTTCGATGAAACCGGAGAGAAAGTCTCTGTATAATCAATGCCTTTCTTTTGTGTAAATCCTTTAGTTACAAGACATGCCTTATACCTCTCCACATTACCATTTGCATCCCGTTTGGTTTTAAAAATCCATTTACAACCAATTAGTTTTGCACCTTCTGGCAATGAGATAAGTTCCCAAACCTTATTGTCATGTATAGACTTGTACTCTTCATTCATGGCATCAATCCACTGTTGAGAGTTAGAATTTTTCATGGCCTGAGAGAAGTTGATTGGATCATCTTCCAATATTCCATTACTTTCCTCATGTTCTTGGAGAAATACAATATAATCATCCGAAATAGTATTTCTCCTTTCTCTCGTGGATCTCCTTAATGGCACTGGTTCTTGAGGTTGTTAAGTTTGTTCTTCTGGAACAGGGAGTTGTTCAATATTGTCATCTTGAGATTCCGGATTTACTTTTTGAGCAACAACAGCAGGTATATGAACCTTAATATTATCAAGAGTAACTGTATGAATTGAATCTGAAGCCAATTCCTCCTCAAAAGCAATGTCTCTAACATTATTTCTCCCCCCAAACTCAATATCCTCAAAGAATGTTGTTGTTCCCGTCTCAAAAATATTCCTGAGTGTGGGATCATAAAACTTATAGCCCCTAGAACGTTCATGTTTTCAGCGAAAGTCGTTTCCATTGCAGATTCCATTAAACTTTGATTGCTTACAGAATATTACAATGAAAAATAAACAAAATTACAACTTTTGAGAAAATAACACAGAAGTGTTCGCGTGGAAAACCGTTGCTTTCTTCATTAATGAGATAATTGTCATCTTGAGTTACAACTTTT